TATCAGAGCTGCTCATGTGATCGTCAATTTGGTGGTGGGGTAAATCTTAGCAAAAACATTGAGTCTCAAAAGGGGGAGAATCTGATGCCCATCATATAAGTAAGTACCAACACCCTTGGGGATGTGTCTCAACACCCAGTGCCCTTTGGCAAATCCCACATTGGCCAAGCATATGAAGGATCTTGGGATTGTAAGTGCAAACTCACTACCAAATTAGCAAGGCTCATCTCTATGGGTCAAAACGTACCATATCACTAGCAGTATTAAGATGCTTCAATATAGAATGTTACACATGTTATCATTACCTCTTTGCAATCAAAACACTAATTTTGTTAGGACAGTAATTGGTACACCCACCGATTCAATATTTGGTTCAATATTTTTCAATTTAATTATTAAAAAATTACTATTTTTTAGTTTGAAATTAAAAATAGACAAATATAATAATACAATCATACACACAAGATACAAGAACTGACTGAATTGATTGTATTTATATTATATTTTTAATAATTAAACCAAAAAAAGATTGAATCAAGTATTGAACTTATGAGTGTACCATTCATTTCCCATTTTGTTATTGAATGGTGTTTTATTGAAATGATTTAATTTTGAGATATTTTTTATTTTATTTTTTAAATATTTGACTAATAATTACAATTTTCATTTATTTATACTCTATTTAGTATACTTGTGGTTAGGGGTGTATGTCGAGCGATTTCAGTTGCAATCGGAACCAAGATTTTGGTTAATCGAGTTTTTGGTTTTCATTTTTAACGACTGAATATCGAACCATAATGTTTCAGGTTTTATCGGATTTAAGCATATCGATTTCGGTTTGACAAAGCATTGATTTTAGTTTTTAACCAAATTTTCTAACAGTGAATTATAGAAGGTGCAAAAAAGACAAGAAACAATGGTGGACCGGTGGCTATGGTAGTGGAAATAAGAAAGTAAACCAAGCATTGATATGGAATTCTATCTTTTTGTCTAGACTCTGGAGAAAGATTAATTGAAAAAGAAAGTAAGGATGAGAAATGATTAAAGAAAGAGACTGGATTTTGTGTGTAGATTTGGGATTTGAGAGAAGTAGAGAACTAAGGATTGAATGAAAGGGAAGAGTTGGAGAAAATGGGTTTTGAGATGGGAAGTTGGAGAAGATGAGTATGAACAAATAAGAAAAGTACAAATAGACAAAAAAATGATAATAATAACAATGAGATTTAAAATTCAAAACAAGTAAAAAGGTAAAAGCAAAAGAGTAGAAAGTAAAAAATATTCAAAAGAAAGTACAAAGGAAGGTTGGGCTTATTGGTTGCCTGGGTCTAGTCTAGCGGTTTACTGTTTCTAGGCCCAGCAACCGTAAACTGCCCCCATTTGGGCCTCGGCTACAACCAAAACTGGGCCCAGACCAATCGAATAGGAAAAAACTCGGACTTGCAAGTTGCGGTTTCGGGCGGTTTTAGGCGATTTTAGCGGTTACGAATAAAAATGCCCACCCTTACTTGTGGTTTTAGGTTTTTCATAATGGTTTTTATAAATTTTGGAACTATGTGAAAACCTAAATTAAAGATCAAAAACTAAAAAAACAAATTTTTACGCTGGCAAATAAAAATATTTATTTATTTAATAATATTTAAATTATTTTTGTTTTTATTTCTTTAATAATCAAACTAATATCTTGCAAAAATATGTGAAAATAAACGATTTTTTTTTAAGTTGTAAAATTTATAAAAACTAAGATATAAAACACAAAACTACAATCATACTAAATATAATTTTACTTTATTTTTAATTTTTTTTAAAAAGGAATACTTTTAAGAGTGGAAAAAATATAAAAAAAAAATTAGTACATATTTAGTTCAATATACTTTCTAATACTTATTCAATTTTAATTACTAAGATATAATAAAATACAATCAATTCAATCGATTACTGCATTTTATATATATAGTTATATTTTTAAATTTGTTTACTTTTTAATTTTAAATAAAATAATAATAATTTTTTAATAAATCTATTATGCAATGAGACCCAAATCACAATCATGGATCTTTCTTTAATTAATATGCCCATTTCTTTCTTTAATCCTAATAAGTCTAAATTTAAGTAGGTAAATGAATGTATGAGTGACGCTTATCTTTGGTTGTAAAATATTGAATTACTCTTTTTGTTCCGGCCGACAAATATTACTCTTTTCTTAAATGTTAGGTTGATGGTGAATCAAAAGTAAAGAGGAAGAAATTTATGTTATGTGGTGCTATAGGGGAAAACATTATATATATATATATTTTAAACAAGATATTATGAGGGTTTAAACCTAACTTTAAAGAAGATGGTGAAATTGCACTTTAACAAAATAATAAGAGTTACTCGACACGACGAGTTAAGTGTGAGGAAAAACATTATATTCGATCGGGATAAAACAGAGTTTTCAATGAACTGGGTTTTGCGGTTGGTGAGATGGAGTTTTGACGATTTATTAATTAGTTATTTTGGAAGTTGACATATGCAATGACTGTTCTGCTGTGAATTACACAACGAATTATTTTACTTATTATTTAAATAATTAATTTTTTATTTATTTAAAATTAATAATATTAAATATATATTTATTTATTTAATAATATGTAAAAATTAAATAAAATATTTATTAAAAAATTATTTCTATATTATTATTTTAAAAAATATAGATCAATGAATTACATAATAAGCCACGTAATTCACTACATGGATTCACTGCATAAAATTGCTGTGAATATTTTTGTCCTTTATCTATGCCCTATTATTATTATTTTTTAAAAATAATTTTTTGACATTGCGTTTTTTACAACAAAAATTTTTATAAGATGATTTCACATAACGTAATTCACACTCATTTGAAACTTGGGAAGTTATGTGGATAAAGGAGAATCAGTACAGTAAGTACACACCTGGACCTCGTCTTGGCCCATTAAATTGGGCTAAGAACAAAAGTGGATTAAATTGTATTGGGCCTTAAGAGGTGCCATATTTTGTTTTTTTTTTTTTTTTTTTGCTATTTTAGTGGTTCTAATGTTTTATTTGTTTAAAATTTTAAAGATTATTCTCCCTTACAAACGTCCAATAGTTGAGATTATTGCTACACTCTAAATAATTAATATCACACTTTTTTAACATAATTACTTATTATATCATTGTATTATACTTTTTTTTAAAATTTTATATTTTTTTGTTTTTTAATAAAATAAATGATATAATAATCAATTAAATAAAAAAATATCACATTAATAATTAAAGATATGGTAATAACATCACTCATATCCAATGCCAATTTCTAACCCTTCCCAACTTAATTAACCGCCCAAAACCTAAAAACAGCCAATTTCTAACTCCCCATGTTTTCTTCTCACTAACAAAGATGAAGGAGCTGGCAGAAGCAGCAAAAAAAGCTAGAAGGTCATCTCAAGGACCAAACTGAACTTTGACGTCCTATTACCATACAAATCATATGGCATACTTTCAGGCAAAGTTCATCCAAGGTAACAGTATATTTGGGTTGAGAAGAATGGAGGGAAAAAAGGATGAGAATTATAGAGGGTAAGGAATGAGAATTATATCATTCCACTCTCTTTCATTTTCTTACCATATCTCCTTTCATCATTTGGATAAATAAATAAATTTAAAAAGAAAAATAAAAGACTTTCTTCCCCTTTCCTTTAATTTTTTTGATAATTAAATAAAAGAAAATTTTCCCCTTCCCTCCCTTCCATTCTCTTGTGTAAATGCATTGCAAGATAGATATAAATAATGTTTAAGTGCCAACATAGTTGGGAGATGTCTATTTCTAATCTCAACTATGTGCATCTACATGTCAATGATTTTGCACTATTTTAAGGAAATCCAGGTGAGTGAATTGTTGCCAAAATTCTTTTCAAAAACATTTAAAAGATAACTGCAATTAAGTAAACGCCTAGAGGGTCTTCCATATTTACCATATTCAAACTAATTTCTTAAGGATTAAACTCAAAGGGAAGAAACTCTTTTGGGTATGCATGCTTATTATAGTGGTATGCGGTTGGAACTACTTACATTATAATATTTATTCATTTAATTAAAAACTTTTTTTTTAAATACTAACATTTTGATATTTGAAAACTATATTGTATCTCAACTAATATAAAAACGAGTCACGTCATGTCAACTAATGTAAAGTTGAATCATGTCACATCGTGTCAGACTGTATATGAAAAAAAACTTTTCTAACACTTGTTTTTTTATTTACGAAATTTAAATTTAAAATCTTATTTAAAATAAATTAAGATCTTTCAATTCAGACCAATACATCATTAGTATTAACTAAAAACTTTACTTGCACGTAAATCTGAAGATAAGTATGAAATATCGTGGGCTTCATATGTGATTGACAATATCCCTTTTAATAATGTTATGTATACTTAAATACATTAATTAATACTTGATGCATAAAAAAAATATATAGATATAATTAACATAACAACCAATACCAATATAAGTGAGTAGATGATTGCACGTAGTGCAGGAGAGCTACTTATAAAATTAATTATTTTAGTAATAGAAAATATAATAAGAAAGAACATACTTAATTATTTTAAAAATATTTTTATTATTCATTAATTTA